ACAATCTAGCCAAATGTCGCTGAAAGTTTGTACGAAATACTGACAACTGACGCAAACTTTTACGAAATTTCATAAACATAATTGTAGATTATTTTTTAATTGACTCGTTGATCACTCCTTCAGCTACTCAATTCTAGATCCCAAAAATATATTCTCGCCTCGTTGTGATACATCCAACAATGCACAACCGAACCCACCAATTAGACTGTCATATCATGGCGCCGTTCATTACAATTCTGGTAAGTGATGTATGGCAGGGTCTGTTAAGGACAATCTTCCTTATGCTTGTCAGTGTTTCTTTATCGTATTGTGTGCGCGATGCAGCTAGTCTTCTTGGAATTGACTGACAAAGCGATGCTGTTTTTGCTTTGTATGAGCAGCAAAATGCACTGTACTCCAAGGCAAGAAGATATGATAATGATATGATTGAAGTAATTGATCCGCTTTCGGCAACGATCGGCGTTGGACTTGGATTGCCGGGATATTCACCGGGATCAGCAGATCGTAGTTTGATGCGAGATGCGTTGATCCGTTCAGAGGTTCAGGAAATCGAAGAAGCAATGTTGAAAGATAAAATGAATATGACCGATTATGAACGCACTGAACAAGAAATCAGTGAACAGGTTGCTGTCTTTGTTGTTGTTTATATCAATTCACATCGAGTATTCACTTATGGTTGTTAGTATTATATTGATGCAGGTGGCTCGTGAATCTTACATGGAATATGTAAGAACAATGGAATCGAAACGTCAGTGCAGTAAGGGTGGAATCGGAGTGGGCTCAAAGCGACCACAGACTGCAGCATCATTTGATACGAACCAACCGTGTTGCTCGAGATCACCTGCACCAAAGATCAAATCTCGCGAAAGTAGTCAGGAGACGAAATGTTGGTTGCTTATTCGAGTTTGTCATTTTTATTGCTTATTATCATCCGCATCATATGTTCATCTTTCAGCAGCCATCGAAGCTGACTCTAATAAGATTCATGCAGCAAAATCGAATAATTTGTCATTCTATGAAGAGTTACTTGCATGCGGTAGGTATATTATTTTGTTTCCGCTTTTTACTTCAACTAGTTGATAATAAAATCGGGAAAAGAGAACTGATAAGTTTAGGTGATTGGTCGGCTGGAAGTGAAACGGATGCGGAAGATGCATTATTGGCGCAAGTGATGAAACTATCTAAGCAAGAATTTATTGAATCATTGAAAGAAAAGCATAATTCAACACATAGGAATGATATCGATAATAATGACGGTCACCGCGATGGTAGTGGTGATAAGACCGACAATAATGACGAGGACTGTTGTGCTAGCTGCAGCAAATCTTAATTGTGTGCTTGATTAATTCATTTCAGTTCTTCATTGTTCATTTATTATATTCATATTCAGTTATTTCACCTTTTAGTCATTTTTCTTTATATGTTCGTTGCAATTAGGCGAAATGATGAGTGGAATGCAAGTGATATTCTGTAACGGTGATAACTGTGGAATTTATCGTCTTATCAATAAAATGGAATAAGTCATAACATAAATGAATGATAATAATGATGTTTGGTTGTTGTTGTATCATTTCCGTAATGATCATCATCAATTGTTGCTGTTCAATGATTTGCTGAAACGATTATGGACATCCCATTTAATCAGTTAGTATGTGTGATCGATAATGATAATTACTGCTACTGTGTCGAAAGTGTGATTGCTTGACCGATTGATTGAATATTTAGTAGAGTTATGAATGAAGATTGCTTTACGGATGTTTGTCTTGTTATTGTTGCTTTGCTTCTATTGGTCTTCTGACAACCAGATGCTGCGGGAAACTTACTGTTAATTGGTTCGTAAAAGCTGTTCACCGGTAAAATGTTGGTGCAATTAAAACGGCAAGGTTGCGATTCAGATAGAACGCGTGAGTAAGAACTAGAGTAGAAAGAGAGAGGATGGTTTTTATTGATAGGTAATAGTGAATAGATGATTAGATATAAATCATAGAATGACTCAGGCTAGATAATATCAGTGAGCAAGGCTTTTCTCAGCTTGCGAGGGAAGTTTTGCTTGAAAGCGGATGATAAATAGGTGGTGATGGATTAAGCATGATATTATTGTTATCTTATTGATATTAATTGATCAAAATTAAAAGCAAGAGCATGCAAGAACAAGGTTACAATTTGCGAAGTGGACAGTTGCGGAAGCGAGATAATTCGACGTGTTTCAGTGATGATTGGGTGTTTAGCAAAATGAAGAAATTGAACGGTGGATTCGTTGGAAAGGTTTTAAATTTGATTTGTTGATTCTTTTCACTGTTCATTTCATTCGTTTCAAATGTGTTCTTGCCATTTTATTGCTTTTTGCAACGGCATGAGTGCGCATTATGTAGATTTGTTAATTTGAGGCGTAAAGTTCACTTTGTGTTTGGATTAAGCTTTATCTAGATTTGGTGTAAGCTTAGTGTTAGTTCTTCGTGGAAATTAACCATTTTAGATGATAGCCAGAATACAAACGAATGATCGCTTCAGTTGAAAATACGTTCGTTTATATGTATTGCAATTATTATTGTTCTTTTTTCGTTTTTTTTTTTTTGAGAAGAACTGAAAAAACTTGTGATGACTGATCGATGTTGTTGGTTAAGGAGAGTGCAACGAAGAAAAAGAAATATGGAAGTGAACTAGTGAAGAAGGAGAATAATAATCATTGTCTTCATAAGGAGGAGAAAGACGATAAAGCGCTGTGTGTTTGTCGTCTTATTGCAATCGCAAAAGCGAAAAATATATGGAAGGAACGCGAATACGTTCGGAAGGCGATAGCTGAGTTAATGGATAGATTGAATTTGAAAGCCACTTATTATCCAAGTCGAAACAAGACCAAAAGAAAATCCTGAGAAAAAACTTCCGAGAAAAGAAAAATCATGAAATGAATATGACAATGACCGTTAGTGTAACCGGACTAACATCAGTAACTTCCTCTTTTACTTTCACCACATTTTACCTATTGACGTGTCATTTATAGCTCGATCAGTCATTTCAATTCGTTAACCGTTCGCCTTTTTACGTTTTTTTTTTGATACAAGCAAAACTTTCTGGATCATTTTTCTTTGCACTGTGTATTGTCTTTTTTATTCATTCATGAACCATTCAGTTAAATGACGAGTTTTTTTTTGAGTGTTTCCATGTGTACAGTGTTGCTGATTTATTTGACAATTACAGATTAATCCGTTTGTTTATGTACCATTGATCCGGAATAGTATTTGTTTATTAGTTTATTCATCAATTTTTATTTATGCGTAATGCAAGCAAGATTCGGTATGTATCATAGCTGTATTCTAAATTCGCAATTCTGTTGGTGCTGCTACCAGTGGTGTAACCAGGGTTTGTCCATGGGGAGGTGATCTCAAATGATGCGCTAAATGATGTGATCTCAAAAACCGGCTGAATTTCGGAGTGGAATTTTGTACGTTTATTCTTTTGTCATACCTTCCCCATTCCCTCTTCTTTTTTTCCTTTTCTTCCCATTTCAAGGGGAGGGGAACGCATGACCTCTGCGATCCCTTTGGTTACGCTTATTACTGCCGTTATTACTGTCGTTTTCATTATTGTTGTAATTATCTTGCGACCTGTTTTCGTTCTCTATGAGAACGCACGTTCCATGTTTCCCTAATGCCGTGCAAACCTTCTCCAGCGCTGGTCGAATAGCCTGACAAGTGGTTAATCCCACCTTGTTCGTGGTCTGCTCAGGGGCTTCTTTACATTTCTTGGAATCCGTCTTTGTTGTAATTAATGACCTCTATTATTATTTTTCTTATTGGTAAAAGTGACCTCTATTTTGACCTCTATTTTTCTTATTCATGTTATTCTATTATTATCTTCATTATTGTCGTTATTATTACGATTAGTTTTTGGTTTTTGCTCTACGTATTTTCACGTGTTTTTTTTGAGCGACCGATATAAACTTGCCTTGACCGAATATGATTCAGCATGGTTGTTGAAATGTTATCGAACAGTCCAAAAAGAGCGTACTGAACAAAGACGGTATTATCACTCTGCTCGTATCTTCATCATCTATCAATGTTTTAGCGCAGCAAGAAACAAGTAAAGTGTGAAATATCACAACAGTTGGTTTTAAAGCTTGAATTGCTTTCTTGTGGATGTTACTTCCGTCATTTTGTTCGTTATCCTCACAATAAACTTGTACAGTTTCTACATGACCAGTTTCTTTTTAGCTGTTCGTTTCATTCGTTAAACCATAACGTTTCTCATCAAAAGAGTATTGTTTTTGAGAATTTCATCTTGTTACACTCTAGAAAACTGAAAATTTGTGAATGATGTATGTTTTCCATCCAGCAAGTTTTATTTCTATTTATCCGAGCACATGATGATGATCATTACTAATTAGTAATAGTGATTATGAGTAGATATAGTACTAGATGAACGACGAAAATCCGATACCTGTAAAACGTCGTGGTATCGGCACAACGCTACCGGTTGGTTGGAAACATATGAGTCCTCCGAGCGAGGCGGTCAAAAATAAAATTTTTCAACAAATTATGGAAAGAGTTAAAAAAGAGCAACTGGGTTCGTTGTCTTATTTCTTCGGTGATATTATTTAGTGTTTGGCGAGTTTGATGCGTGCTCGAATAAAACTATGGTATGGTGGTATGTAGCGAAAAGAGGGTGACTAGTCAAAATAAGTATTCAGTTTCAGTGTTAGGAATATGTGTATTTGTTTGTGTGTTCGCAGTTAGCATGAGGATGTACAAGAATGTAATGAGATATGTGAAGCAGTTCTTGTTGCTGTAGATTAGATGAGTAATCGAGTGTTGTGCAACAGAACGTATTGCATTTCAGCAAGCGCACAGAGGGCTGCGAGAGCAGAGGAACGTAAAAATGAAAAAGAAAAAAGTGTTTGGCTCAAGCAACAAATTGAGGATTGTGTGAGAAAGGTTTGAGAATAATCTACGAAATCAGTCTTTTTTCACGTTCATATACCTGTTCTAATCGTTTACTTATAAGATATCATGCATTTTGTGTAATAGAAGTACATATATTCCTCGGAAAACAACCTTTATCTTCTGAAAATAATCGCGTTTTTTCCTCAGTTCTTTTACACTGAACTGTGTAAACTGCCGATCTATCCGTCTATTTAACGATTAGAACAGGTGTATGTAACATTGATTCTTTTGTTTCTATTCAAAATTGGCCCGAAATTTGAAAAAAAAACACAACTTTTCATGTATTTTTATTTTGTTATTGCATCCAGATAGGTTCCCCCATAAACAGTGTTTTTCGAGAGACTGATGAGTGGACAAAGGCATTAGCAAATTTTAGATTAAGCTAAGCTCGCAGCAAAGCAATTTTTAGCTGAAGGTGAGGGGTCTTAGACCACCGACTGCGAACACTTGATTTTGTGAGTGAATTGACTATTGAATATTCAGATCGAGACTGTGAACAGTCGTAAAACTGAATTGGACGATTTGAAAAGTCGTTTATTTGCACAACTCAAAGAGGTGGTCGCCAAAGACAAAGCTCAGAAAGCAACACTTGTCTCACAACAACAGCAAACCAATCCGGCTGTTGCACCTACGCAATCTTCATCAAACAAAGTTCGGATCCTTCATGCTCTTTTTTTTTCGTTCGCAAAAAACCATCATTTGACACTGAAAGAAAACGATATTTGTTTTGACGATGATGAGTGGCTTTTATCTAGTTGCATCATTGGTCACTGTTCAACTTCGTTTATTCTTAAAACTCCTGAATCGCCAATTTATTGCGGTTCTGTTCAGCTGCAAGTTATTATACTTTGAACATGTTTATTTATGCACTGATCACTGAACCGTACTGGTGACGCGTATTTGGTCCACGATCGATTGTAGTTTCAGAATTTACACAAATCCTTTCGCGCGGGTACACCTGTGGGAGCATAATTCATCACCACAGGGGTCTCCGTAAAATGCAAAAAAATGAAACGACAGTGAACATTTGTCAAAACTCACAACTGATTTATTAATCGTAACAAACGTTGCATGTTTGCATTGTAGGTCTTTATTAAAACTAGCAGTGAAGAACAAATATTGCATCAATAATAATGACAATAAGAAGTCAGTTGTGAGTTTGTGAACCACCCAATGAACATTGGTTTGCTTATCCAATTCACATTCTACCGCATTCAGTGCATAGACTAATCCAACCATAAATAGCGATAATACACCAACCGGATTTCCCATCCCTTTCCAATGAATTTTCGTCCTTCGACGACAAAAAATATGAATTTTTTATCACCGCAATTCACGGTTTGAAAGTGTTTCGAAAAATTTTTAAAAATCGCAATCCGCAAGATACGAATCCAGAATGCCAACCTACGCGGGGCTTCAAAATGCCCAGTGGAGATTTCCGTTCAAGGAATACCTTCTTCGGGTGCACCCATGGGGATTGAAAGTTTATTTGCGGAATACATGATTCATCAGAAATCGCTATAAGGACACCCTGGCAAGGGTTAGCCCCTTTCGGACACTACCCCATATTGTTGACTGAGGCACGCAGAGGGTTATGTTTTATTAGTGGACAAATGTTGTAGGCTCGGTGATCTTTTAGGACAAGCAAGACTCGTCTTCAGCACAGTCAATTGAACTTAGCCCAGCAGATGATAACAACAATAATAGTAACGATTCAACGGCGAATACAACTGCCAATAATTCACAGCAAATGGATGATGGTCATATCAAGCACAATAACAACAATTTGATTTATTTTTATATCGATAATACACCATTTGATGGAATCAAGTTATCGCTGATGTTTATGATGTATTTATTTAAATGCAACAAGCCTCGCTTTGCTTCGCCGTCGGTAAAGGTTAGCTAAAAGATGTGAATTCTCGTAGGATTTGTTAAAAATGTTTTCAGTCTTTAGTTAGAATATACTCAAAAAACCGAAGATACTCTAAAAATAAAAATTTAGAAATTCAAGAAAAACTTTTTTTTGGAATTTTTAAATTTGTTCAGAATTCAGTCAAAAAAACCAAAGCTCAAACTTCTTCGAGATTTCCTACGAAACTTGTGAAGAAAAGAGTAACGTTATCAATTCAATTCAGTTAGTATTAAATGAAAATTGTTTAAAGAATTTGTATGGATGTCTAAAAATATGTTTACCTGAGGGGCGCAGTAATAATGAAGATGACAATGCAGATACAGTATCTCTCTCGCAATATGTAAGTGTTTTTATTCGTATTCATTGCCTAACCTTGATCCAATACGATAGCGCCATAGCAAGAGACGACCGCTGTTGACCACTTACTTTCTCATTCTTATCAGCATTGAAATGTGCACCAAAAAATTGCGCTAATTGATGTCCTTGCAAGATGGAGATATACATTTACCATTTAACATCAGATTGCACCAAACACGAACAAAGCCAGTGATTGTGCCCTAAAGAGCACATATGAACAGCAACTGTTTTCGTGGATAAATGAATACTGCTCTGGATCATCCTGTGAAGCAACGCATCATTTTAAGCATCACAAAGTGATCGATTTCATTAAACATTCATGAACATTCTCATCGTTCCATCCCAATTTTCTCTTTAATTTTAATTCCCCAAAAATATTTCCCCTAGTCATCTTATTCGCATGAATTATTGTGCTCAAAGCAGGCCTGCAGCCTTAAACTACTCGTATTCAACCCGATCCTTCCACTGACTGATGAATGTGAACGCAAACCATTGGAGATAACTCTCAAATGATAGAGCCAGATCATACCTCCCAACTTGCTATCAACCCCTCATAGCCTAAACTCCGGCTGAAGGCCTTGCATTTGTGGCTTATGGATAACGGTTGAACGTTGCAGCCACTTGAATAGATTTCTGTCAATGTTGCTCGGTGAAGAGCGGGTATCCGGTGAAATACCGAAGAATAATATATAACGTGATCTTATTTGAATGCTTAATCATTTCTTAAATAATAAATCACCATGATATTGAGATAACCAAAAGTATTTCGTTCCTATGACAATAAAAGTTATCAATTATCGAACTGTCATCACGCATTATTTTCATTCTCTTCTTTGACACATCAGCCTCGTTAGTATTGATCATACGGAAATAATCGAGAAGGCCCTTTATTGATCACTGTTTCATAGTGAGCTTCTTCCCACATATCGAGCAAGTGTACCTCACACCTTCCTTCCCCAAAATGAAATATTTCCATAGTGCGGTCTTGTTGACCAAACTTCCTTTTTGCCTTGTTGAATCGTTGCAAAGGTAAACGTTCTCTCAGCCGCAGCATGCAACAACGCCAGATTATCTAACAACACGATCACAGCATACCAAAGAATTGTACTTATAAATTCGCAAAGTTCGCTGATGTGGCTACAGCTGCACATAAAACGGTATCTAGACAGCTACCCCAGAGACAACTGCTCCTGGACGATTCCCCGGGGACAGCTCCTACCTAATAATTGCTCTCGAACAAGTGTCCCCGACAGCTTCCTTCGTAGATACAAGTTCTTTCGATCATTATCAGCAGCGTTATCGTGACATGTATCCTCCAGTGGAATAAGGGTTGTTAGAAGCTTAGCTGTTCACAGGCTGAAATCAGTGAAGGCACGTGGCATTGATGGACTACTGGGAGAGATATTCAAATTTGGACACCAGTCCGTTTAGCTCTTTCCTCGGGGACACTCGTCATTGAACTACGTAAAGTACGCGAACGTTGCTGGTGAAATCGCCTCAGACTCATGTTTTTGGTGTTCCTCGAAGATTTTCAGGGAACGGGAATCCCCAACAATTATAGAAGAGTTGGGCGCGAAATTTGTAATAGAGGACCCAGGGGGTGCAGCGATCTTGAAAAATGTCAAAGAAGGGGTCTCTGGAATTCTCCGTTCACTAGTTTATATTGCGCTAGTGCAATCACCAGTGATTATCAGCACCATTATCGCACCTCTCAACAGTATCATGTTTCTTGTTGCATTAACTTCATCCCATTTTCTACGTTATTATTCGTCTTCAAACAAGCAAATCAGCACGAACAAAAAACAGAGATTTTCCACCGCACTCGTGCAATTTCTGAAGCCTTCTAGCGATCTTCGCGATTGCACCAATTGATAAGTATGACCCCGCCAGTTCCAGTCGAATTTCACTTAAGTTGCGATACGGACGGAATGTAAAATTCTTTTCGTGTTACCACTCGAACACGTATATTCTACGGAACGAATATATCGATTGAATCCTAAATTATCTTCAGCACGAGGAGGGATATTATGGATTAAATAAAACCATATATCGTAGAATGTGTTAGTACCCATATGCTAGAATTGTGAACCGAAAGCTTTTTTCGGTGGACAACGATAAAACACTTGGTTGGCACCGAAATTTGGTGACAACCGGCAGGACAAATTCTGAGCATCGTTTAGTTTCGATCGGTATTGACCGAAATTCGGTTCGCGCTTGCCACCGACCGAATAGACCCTTTCGATTTCGTTCGGTAGCACCCGATTTTCGATGCCTACCGAAAATCAGTTCTTAAATGACACCAAAAGTCGAATTTGTTCCATCTCGTTCGATGGGCATTTCTTTTATCAGATCCAGCCGACGAATGGAGATTTGTAACTTGTCTGTGTAATCATTCTTAATGCATCATTGTCTTTTGCTTGACTTACTTTTGAGTATCTAGTCATAATTGCGGGTAATTCCCATGACCTATGGTGAGCGCTTTGAGATGCAGGTGCGAAAAGAATTCCATATCATTCTGATGGTGATATAGTTCATCGACTTAATTCTCCTTCAGGGTAACCAAAAATAGTACGCAAATGCAGTCATTATTTTCTAACCCTAATAACCTAAACATCGGCACTCGAGCATTTTGCTTAAAGACGTTTTGCCTAAGGACAATTTGCCTATTAGGCAAAATATCCATTTAAAAACCGTCCGTTAGGCAGTGTGTCTTTAGACAAACTGTCCTTAGGCAAAACGTTTTTAGGCAAATCGTCCGGTCACGGTAAGAATCAGTGCAAAACAATTAATGAGCAAAGCAAAAGTGCGTATAGCAAATGGTCAAATGTATAAAAAATGGCGGACATGATTGAAACGCCCCAGAGGAAATTATGTTTGTTTCATATCCTTTATCCTTAACCGCATATGTCTGTGCTTTATTCTCAACCTCAATTTGTCACAAAGCAGAGAATAAAACTGCTTTTTTTGATCAACTATATCGGAACAAACTGATTCAGAGACTGAAACAAGGTCCCTAATGGCTCCGGCGAATTTATTAAAACTCCATATTTCGCAAATAAATCTCGAACGTTCACCCGTACATACAGACGGAAAGAGAAGAAGACAACATGAACCTCTGCATTAAAATGTAATACAACCTAATCCTCGACTCACTTGCAATTGTTAGATAAACGTCACAGTCACATACCGTCATTCGCATCTCTTCACCCAAGAAATACACAGAATTCTAATCTAGCGGTTGTTTCCGCAAATTTATCCGTAACCGACCTCGTATCACTTCTGCTGAAGCAATGATTCTCATGAGGGGTAATTTGGAGAGGAGGGGGGGGGGGTCAGGAGGTAATTGAAGAGGTCGGCAAACTATTATTTCGTGTAGTTGTTACGTTAAAATGGAGTGCCACTGTGATGGTGTTTTCTCACTTGAATATCCAAAAACAGTTCCCTCATGGTACACCCTTCTTTCTCTCATTTCTTGAGTGTCTTTGGCTTGTGTGGGCCTAAACAAAAGTCAGTTTGAAATAATCGCAAGTACTTCGTAAGTTCTTCAATATGTTGGCCGATATCGTCTCTGATGAGCAGTAGGGACTGATAGAGTTCTTTGGTGGGGTAGAAAAGATGCTGCGAGGAAAGTATTTTTCAATTCATCTATTATTATTATTATTCGGTTGTACTGAAAAGTTTTGATGTTTTTTAATTACCACATACAATGGGATTTTTGGTTCTTATATGAATTTTTTGAACGAATTAACTGCTCAATTGTGTCATGAGTATCTAGTTTGTGTTACAGTGTGGTGGATGTTAAGGGATTCTTAATTGATAATTATGACCGCTAACCGATTTTCGAGGACCCCCGCAACTCGGTGACTGCTGAATATGGGTGGCAACCGAGTCAACTCTACAATTGGTGTTAGTGCAAAAATATAAGATTAGATTTGTATTGGTTGACATAATTGGTACTACATTACAATGATTAAAATACATTTGATAACAAAATCATTCATTGTACATGACATAACAATATTAAACCAGATGTAACAACATGAAAACTCTATTCAAATGTCAACAATTCTTAACAGTACTGAGATACAGTCATTCACTGCCAACAACACCATCTAACTGAATCAAGCAGCCACAAAGACTGCTAAAAAGCTCCGGAAGAGGAATACAAAAAAAAACACAGATTTATTTATTGGATTCAATTGCTCACAACTTTCGGCTTCAAAACATTCGTAGCGAACTGCCCGGCTCGATTGTTATTACCAGCCGGTCGATAAAATACCACCACAATTTGTTCGCCTGGGAAGGGATTGTTGCTAGTGCTTTCACTGCTAGTTGTCAACAAAATTTTATTTGCAGTGTTAATATCGCTGTCAATATTGTCACCATTATGACAAGCACCGATGTCATTGCTATTATTATTGATGGCATTCAATTCTCTCTGTTGCACTGCAGTAATTGTGGGTGTGGGCAAAGCAATCGCACCAAGTGCTGTTTGTTGCTCAACAGGCCGCGCTGCAACAAACGACCGTCCAATGCCGATCTAAAAAACCACTACTCATCCATCCTTCAAATGCAATATGCAACAAGCGATAAGCGCATTCTGATAGTCATTTAATCGAAGATGACCTTTGAACGTTGTTACAGTGCGCATCTGCAGCACGAAGTTACCTATTAAATAATCAAACCGAACCATCAGCAACTAATCAATAACATCTGAGCACTAACCTCACTAGTAGATTTCCAAACCACTTGAGTGAAATAATTGGTTCCTGCCTGCCAACCAGGCGTATCATATTCGTACTTCACATGTTCGTTATACCAGTGCTCTACCACCTTTTCACCATCGATCCATAACGGAAAAAACGTTATATTTTCACCAATACCTCAAAGTCGTTTGTACGGTTACATTTTCAATTTTTTTTTGGGGTCAGTAGAACGGTTCTCAACTTCGTAAAGTACTCTAACTAGGGAAAGGTTTAACAAGACACTGCTCGGTAAACATTTAAAGTGTTGGTTCACCTCAACTGCTCTTCATAGCGAGCACATTTATTGCTAGTCTATAATGGAACGATAATAAAACATACCAGGTAATTCACAATAAGCCAAATGTCCTCGCAATGCCAATTTATTAGCCCAATTCTGTGCCTGCTCGCTCAGCTCTGCGCTGACCACCAACGGCTCTGATCCATGCTGCAACGATGCGATGCATCATTATAAAACATTCTGATATGAAATTATTTGATCAACAATATACCATTACATGACACGTACCTGTGCCCTGAAACGATTATGTGCATCAATAATTTGCTGGTAAAAACGTTCGCTTGCTTCAATGACGACCATAGCAATAAATAATAATTGCAATAAGCCAGTTATAACAAATGACAGAAAATAATTGACTTGACGATAGTAACGATGAGAATAGATTCATGTAAGAGGATTGTTTGAAGCCATTCTTACTGGCAACTGAACAAGCAGCCAAATTTGCTGTTGATGCTTCTTTATAGCTGTATATTTTTGGAGTTGGTTGGCAAAATCTATTAATAAGATTGATAATAATCAACGTAATAATCAACGATCATTCGT